TACCATCTGATGAAAGAGCTCGGGCTTTGATTGAGATGGTGGATCCAGGCTGCGAGGTAGCCACCAGGCGTGCCTCGTGTTGTTATCGTGGTGGACTCTTGACTCATCTGCACTGGTGATCAACTAGGGAATATCCTGTCTATACGGTCGCAGGATGAAATTTCTGCACGTCGTCACGTGCGCTTCTCGGTCTGGTCAGTTGATGCATGCTGTTTCTATCGAGAGTTCTTTCTGCTACACCCATTCCATTCAGATGGCCCTTCCTGGCTTATGCTGCGTCCGAATGTTTGCTGATAGCGTACGGATGCATCTCCTATTCGTAGCACAAGGGGTCACCAGCGAAAGCGGCTGGAGGTCCATGATGAGGTCGAACTTTGCAGCTCCCATGCGCTTGAGCCAATAGCTCAGTGCTCGATCAGTAGCAAAGACTGGGGCAAACATGGCGCTGATCTTGCCTACCGCTCTCCTTGCAAGGTTCTTCTTTAAATGGTCATAAGGCATCATGTTGAGTTTTGTCGTTGACCTATTTCAATTCCTAGCTAATTATTTCGTGGCTCATTTGAGCTTCCGAAAAGCTAAGTTTAAGTTTAGGTTTAAGAACACCAAATCCCTTCTGGCTGAAGGGATTTGGTGTTCTTCAACATATCAACTTATTTCATTATGAAGCTAATTTTACCCGAAAAAATTGAATTGGAACAAAAATCGGCCAGAAATTATGGGTCAACCCAATACATGAGTTAAGGGATGCGGCCCTGAATTTTTGATGGTCACAGCGATCATGATGTAGAGATGTAACACGACGCACCCACATGATCGAAGGAAGATCATGCAGACATGAACGGGAAACAGTTGTCCGATAATAGTCACGTGACATTATAACGTTGTGAGAGGCGCATAGCTTTCACGTCGTTTATTACACAGAATTCATTTCAGGAACAATAAAATATAATAGAATTATCCATATTTTATTTCATTGCCTTTTCCATGATTAAATGCTCACATGTCTGTTCCGGCAGAGAGGTATTCGCATCGGAAGCAAGTTTTATTTGTGGCACTATTCATCAGGGTCAACCGTCACGTTCGAACATTTTCGGGATTTTTGCGACCCCCCCCCTCTCGAGAGGGTCCAGTTGCGACCCCCCAACACACAGTTGCGACCCCCCAATACAACCAGCCTTCCTCCACCGCGACCTCTCCCTCTTCTATAGTATTTGATTCTGAGACCAGTTGACACAGCCCAAAACCTACCTAAAACTCCGAAACTCCACCCACTTTTTCCCCAAAAATAGCCGTCGAGCGGGGGGGGGGTATACAACCAGTGAAACGGCAACTTTTTTCGCACGCACCTATGCCCTGCGCCCTGATCACCAAAGCGCGCAATGCGACCAATGCGACCCCCCTCCCTTCACAAATGCGACCCCCCCCCCGTTCGAACTGTTCGAACGGACGGTTGACCCTGCTATTCATCCTCTTTTGCATGAAGAGCGGTCCGGTCTTCACTGATTTTCAAAAAACAAAGAACAATCAAAGGCCAGTTTACCGCTGTTGACCCTTTTGAGAAACTGCTATATCGCTTAGCAGATACAATAAGCAGTACCGAAATGAGTGCTAAAGCGAACGCAACGGTATCACATCATTTCTTTCGAGTAAAGTGACCTGGTCATCTTCTTCTATTAGAAAGTGCTTATAGAAGGATTTTTGAAATGAGCCGGGCGCCTTATTTCAGAGATATCACCGAATTGTCGAATCATTGTCCGGAATTATAAAAGACGAGAATTACTCTGGCCAAAATTCATTGCATTGCCTGGAAAAGTGAAGACGGTGGAAAAAGTTGCCATCAGTAGCACTGCACAGATATGCTTTGAACGTAGTTATGTTGCTGCTTAAATGTTGTCAGAGCAGTTCTCACCTGAAATTCTGCGAAACTCGGGCCATTCTTCAAAAGAAACTCATAAGAGGGAAACCGGTTAGATCATACCGCGTTACAGTTAGCATTTGTGAGAGTGAAGGTGATCCCATATTTACCGCCCACGTCTTGCGATTGGAAATTTTCCACCGTTCCAAATCGACTTAGCTGTGAATTTATCTGAAGTGAATAGTGTGGGCTCTCGATAGTGGCGAGGGAAAGAGTAGTCCTTCGTTCATTACTCCTGGGTTTCTTACTAACAATTCGAGCGTAAGCATCCTCGTACACGTATCTCTTGGTCGCATTCCAATTCAAGAGAGATACAACAGTAGCCGTGACCGTATTAGTTCCTCCTGTGACATTTGTACAGCAACAACTCTTAAAAAGTGTTCAAACAAGTCACTTCTTTGGCACATCACAGAACAGAACTCACCAACGCAACTCTAACCAACGCAACATACAAGGGTAGGCGAACCATGACGTCGACATAACTAACAGAGGAGTACTTCATCCCAAGCCTTTTATCCCTTTCAGAAGTGAATAATGCCATTGCTGCTATTCTTGCAAAGAACGGCTTTGCAGAGAACACTCTCTTTGACAGCTGTTGATTCACGTCACCGTCCAAACAAATATTTACATTTGACCATCAGAAGCAATGATGAATAAAATCGCGAAGGTGCAATAAGAAAGAATCCTACATTAGACGTAGGCCTTCGGAAAAGAATCACTTTCGAGAACGTCTAAGATGACAGGAGGAGAGAGATGGAAGTACTAAAAGCGGACGGCTTGTGATGGTGGTGACCATAGAAAATGAAAGAAAGATTTGTTAACTATACGTAAATTACATTGGTGGTGATGACCTTGAAGAAGGATTTAGAATAGAACTGGTATATGTAAGAGGGTGGGCGGAAGTGGTGTAGTGACAAGTGGCGCGCTCACCACGCGAGCGGTCCGGGATCAAATCCTGGGTCGTGAGTCGCCCGGGCCAACCAAGCCTTCCATCCCTCCGGGGTCGGTTAATTGGTACCAGACTTGTCTGGGAGGATAAAAACACTGACTTGTACATCGGCTGGCCCCCGCAAGTCATTGTATAGGCCACATCGCATTCAAACGCCACTACGAATGTACAAATGGAAGTAGAATGCGTGCCGCATCCCAAAAGGGATCAACGGCAACGCTTTAATCTTTATCCTTTATGTAATGAAGGGAGATGTACAATAAATCTTGGAAGATGAACGGGGGCCCTGAATACCGAGTTGAGGCATACGCCAACCCAACCAGGGTGAATATTGCTTGAGGATTCCTCAACGGCACGTCGAGGATTTTCGCCTGATCCTTTACGTTCTCGCGCGCGGATATTCACTCTCGCCACCCGCGAGCCGTCTGTGCTCTCCGCGCGTACATTCACTATCGGCTCTACTCTCGCACAGCAAGAACGATGGTCGAGGAATTAAGTCTTCGTATATCCGTTTCACCCTGAACCCGAAATCGAGCAAGGTGTCACCTAACATGGCCCCAGCCTCCCCAAGCGAAGGACTTGAGGGTACGATTTGTTCAGTGTTGATACTGTTACCGTCGCATTTGTTCTTTATTCAGGAGGAGCTGTTCCATTTTCAATGAGATCCTTCCAAGGATTACTCTTCACGAACACTTTGCGTGGCCTGCATGCATCGTTGGTGAAGCCATTCAATAAGGCTTCTTCACTCTAATGTATGCGCGACTAGATGGTGACCTACAGGTAAGACTGGTTGCGGCTCTCGGCAGGCGAAACCAACGAAGATAGTGCATGAATTAGGCCGAGGTGTTTGAAAATTGGGAATTTGATACACTTACAATATAGTTGGCTCGACAATAGCTCTTAGCAGATATGGCGCTGTACTGCGTCCGAGCATATACTGCATTCAATCATGGACAGCCGTGATCCTGGAGCTATCCGACTATATTTCCGCAACGTGGTACAGACCGACTCGACTCTGGATTCTTCCTAAAAATCACTTGCATAGTGTTACAGTTATATTCTCATGAATTTTGAAGACACATTCCACGACCAGACTGAGCAGAACCTCTCCCGCGAGTAAATTAGTGAATTCGCAAACGCAACGATGGCGCACTTCAAAGGTCGAAAAGACACGTGACAAGGCGTTCCATCGACGACCGTGTTGGGGAGCGTGACAACGCACACCCAGATGGTCGTGATGGACTCTTCGTGGTCGTTCGCTTGAAAAGGTGGTTCGCATTTTTGCTTCGGCTGCCTTACTCACTGGCTGTCTTTTGCTCATAAATTTCATTCCCAAGCGCAATAATCTTGCAATCAGATGCAGAAACTTTAGTAATTCTCCTGGAACCTCTGACACTTATTTCACGAGCATAAAGCGAGGAGGCACGATAGGCGAAGATCGAAGAAGGGGAATTCCATCTAGTGGAAAGACGAACGGCCCTTTGAGGGTGCGGGCCGACACGCAATTAGCATCAAATGATATGGCCCCGGCGAACTGGCATGGCCTCCCTCGTAGCCAAATGGAGAGCTATCAGCCCGGAATCAGCCCCCTCCCCCTCTCGCGTCGCCTCGTGTCTGATCTAAAACCGTTCATGGCAGAGAAGCCTCTAGTTGAAGTTGAAGAGGACAGCATCGATGAGAGTCGCACCAATGCGCAAATCAACGGGCAGGGAAGAGGTCCCATTTCTCGGGTTCTTGGCCATTTTCTCGGTTTTTTCTTCTTTCGTGCATCACTAACCATTTCCGACTTTTCAATTTGCAATGGGCTGCTTTTCATCGTAAGTCCGCCTCACAAACAAGGCTATCGAAGTTGATGTTCTAATTGTACTCCAGTGTTAGATTTTTTGAAAATCAAGAAAAAATCCCTAATCTGTCAGGCATGTTTTCGCGCTGGAAACTAAAAGCTCGATTTGGACCGATAATCGAGGAACAAGGAAAAAAATAGCCAAAAATCTGTGCTCCGCTTAAGAAGAAGATAATGCGCAGAGGATACTGGACAGACGAAGGAGCACAGCGACGAGCGAGACGCAGAAACACGATGCGTGGACTGTTTCATCGCGACTAACAGTGAGATCTACCAGAAGCAAAAATGAGCGGCACACCTAAATTTGCGAACAGCTCTATCCTCTTCAATGAGCGAATTAGTCACACCTTACTAGTCGTGAAATGTGTCTTTAATCAAAATTTCCATTCCGTCACCGAAACTACGTGGAACGATAACCAATTTAGCTCCGCACGCAACCGCGCGTATGACATCGAAGGCTTCGGTGAAACTGTGCAGTCGGTGGAGCGTTAGGTCCCACCGGTAAGGCTGCGTTCATAGTTCGCGACTCGGGAGATTAGGATAGTAGGCGATAGGATATTAGGATAGTAGTAGAGTAGGAGATTGCGCTGACAAGATTGGATACGTATCGATTGAAATCGCTGGAGAGTAGTAGATTGGGCGACTTCAAGCGAATAGATCAATACATATCTAATCTTGTCAGCGCACTATCCTAATCTACTACTATCCTAATCTCCTACTCTACTACTATCCTACTATCGTAATATCGCAATCTACTACTCTCCGGCGATTTCAATCGATACGTATCTAATCTTGTCAGCGCAATCTCCTACTCTACTACTACTACTATCCTAATCTCCCCGTCAATACATATGTTTTTCATTGTCGCGTACTATCCTAATCTCCGGAGTCGCGAACTATGAACGCGGCCTAAGAAATGAATTGCTTCGTGAAATGCGTCAGCTGACTGTCCGCTTGAACGCGCGGTGGAGCATGGAGCTAAAGGGATGCCTGTAAACAACCACCATGCATCGAATGTCAGAAAAATTTGCGGTCGAATAATCTTTGATGCAAATGATGGAATACCCAGTACCGATTATCATGTTTCTTCAAACATCCACCGTACATTTAAGGAACTCGAGGGAATGTAGCGGCCGAAGGCTTATTTGGATGAGGAACGCAAATGAAATGATACTGAAAAGTCGCGTTATCGCTACCGTTGTTATCAGCCCTTATCTGTCCTTATTTTTTCTGACCCCCTTCGAATATGTTCCGTGAAAAATGCGTTTAGCGCTTCTTATCCGCTCTTATCAGGCGTTATCACTTTCCAACCCCCACCAAATATGTTCCCGTCCCACCCTCTACATCACTTCTTGAAACCAACGCCTCACTGCTGCTGGGACACGCACTATGAATTTCGTGAAATTGCGTTCTGGCGCCTCTTATCGGCTCTTATCAGTCGTTATCACTTTCCACCAAATATGTTCCCGTCCTACCCTGTACATCACTTCTTGGAACCAACGCCTCACTGGTGCTGGACGCGCGTTATGAATTTCGTGAAATTTGCGTTCTAGCATCTCCTATCAGTTGCTATCACTTTCTGACCCCACCTAATATGTTCCCGTCCCACCGCCTATATCATGCTCAAAATACAGCGCTCCATGGCTGCAGCGAAGCGCGCTATGAATTTCGTAACAGAGAGACGGACGTCATACTTAGCGGAAATATATATAGTAAGGATTCTGTTATCAATACAAACAACTCACAGCCGCAGACTTCATGGGGGCGTCCCAGAGATGTGTGGACGCCCAGTCATAACCACAAAGGAACAGAAGATACAGCCTAGTTCGAGGAAATCCGACTGGTGCACACACGTAAGGCCAGCTGCTCCGGCAATAACCTGCATAGGATTATGGAGAAGTGGAGATAAAGATCGACTGAAAATTAAAATGATCAAAGCTAATATCAATAATAAAGCATGGGATAAACACCGGTACTGACACAAACCACTACACAATTTGCCCACAATTCATTTTTCATATAAAAAAAAGCGATATCACGCATTAGATTTCCTCTGGTTGTGAGGCTGGTGGAGCTTGCAGTGATGGTGATTGGCCAGCTTCTGCATAGACGACTACGGGTTGTGTGTTGTGGGCGACGGCGTGACTATGATATATTCCGGCTCCGGCTACACCACATAGACAACTTTTGGTGTTGGGTGGTGCTTGCGTTGTTGAAGGTTCCTCAGTGCTACTCGTCGACTAAGGACGGATCGTAATTAGCATCGGTGATCAGTAGAATCTGCTATGTAGAGTTTCCTTTCTCCTTGACTGCTGCTTTTGGAACTGGCTGGCAAGCCTAAAAATAAACACTTTGGTCTCGTGAGGTTTTCGCTCAGTTTCATGTTGGAATGAACCCCCCCTCCCTTCCCGAACTTACCATCGTAAACCCAAAGGCTGCTAGAACGAAAAGGAGACGTTTCATGATGGATGCGCTCCATGATCGGTTGACGGCCAACACTTTTATATTCCTGAACGATACATTAGATCTTTCGAAATATTTCACTACGTTGTCATTTGACAGCCATATTCACAAGATTCAAATTTCATGGCTTCTTCGGATTGGAATTCATTGCTTCCAATATAACAGTTGATTATTCCAAATCCATTTGATTTGAACGTTTTGTGGGAAAATTTCTCATAAAAGAATAATGGCTGCTAAATATAGTTTGATACCCCCCACGGAAGCGGCTGGCATCGTCGCTACCGCC